TAGGACACGTATTTTCAATAGAAATTAAAAACTTAAAAAATGGCCTTCGACAAGCTTTAGAACAAAGCTTTACCTATCTTACTACAAAATTTCAAACGTCTGTTCCAAATATTAAACTCATGATATCTAGAACCGATAAGCATGTTATTACTCTATGGCGCGTGTGCTACTGAATCCATTTAATGTATCGGCATCTTTTGAGTATGTACAGTTGGTACGTGCCGAAGCGGCTTTTTTAAAAAATCTAACCGAGTAGAAAAGGATTCGGTGTTATTTTTCAACGTAGCATCTTTTGAGTACTATTGGTTCGTGCTGGGGCGATTTTTATAAAAGATGTAACCGATTAGACTAATTTCAAAATTCAAAACAACAAAAAATCACTTTAAGCTCTTGTCTAAAGCTGATTATAAAGATTAATTTTAATTGCGAATTTATCAATACATTGATTTTATTTTGATACATGTTAGTTCCATTTTGGAACCTTCGAACGTATCCCCTATGATTCCATAGTAATTACCATTCCATATCCAGGGTTTCTGTATTCGCAGCGTATTTATGGAACGTATACCCCGCGAATAAAGAGCTTTTACTGTATATCACTTGTTGTTTCTCATTGGGACCAAGTTTTTCTTGCAAGAATACGTCTTCACAGAGTATGTAAATTATTTATGAGATTAATGATGAATCTGTTAAATGGCAACCGACAGACATAATGGAAGATGATAGTATTAATAACAATATTAGTAAAAATCCTACTAATAATAATAAAAAGAATAAATTACATAGTCAGTCGGTACCATCCCCTCCTACATTATAAGGTGATATCATCAGAAAATACCGGTTGAGTACACTGTGCGCGGCTGTTCAGCGGAATCACTCGGTCGAGTCATTTAGTTGCACTTGAAGTTGCTCCTGCTCAACAAGTGGTCCGTCCATCCGAGAGTTAAATAAAAACCGCGCTTTTTTTTATTAAACTTTCCTCAAACGAACGCGTCGACATTAAATGTTCTTTTGATTGGAACCGTCGCAGTTATCATCTTCATCTCTAATTATTTAAAATGTGGGAGATCCAAAACCCGATGAAAACCCAAAGCTTACCCAGAAGGTATTCGGAAAAATTTGGATCAGTGTCAGTGAAAACAAACTACAGATCTTATCGGGACTACCTGCAGAGCTTTAACGAAAGTAGAACCGGCTCCAGGGACGATCAAGAAAGTCTTTCTTCGGCCGACAGTGGAATTTCATCGTATACACTTTCTGAAAGCAAAAGTGCCAATAGCTCATCGTGCAGCGTCAGCTCTGACCTTAGCACCAATTCCCAGATCAGAAAAAACGAAATCAGCTTCGTTGGTGTCAAACCTTACAAAGAGTTTTTGGAGAACTACAGCACCAAAAAGTTCAGCCCCGTGAAACCAACCCTGCCTGAGAAGAAAAATATTAAAAGTGAAATTTACATAGAGGTTGTTGGAGTAGAAAATGGAAAGAATGGAAGGAACAGTGCAGAAAGACTTGACGTTACCAATTCCAATGGATCAGTAAGTCCAAAAGAAAATGGTATTAAAACAAATGTATTAAAGTTAGATAAAACCACCACCCATAAATTACCACCAAATGGTATCATTGCTCAGAAAACAAACACAGAAGAAATATTCAAGCGGTCAAATGGATATAGCAGCGGAAGAACTGTAGAAACCATAAAGAAATTTAATGATTTAAGCAAGAAAGATCAGCCTTTAAACGGTACGCTAGGAAAGACAAAAAGTAGAGCCAAACCCGATGTCGTCCCCGAAAGGAGCTCTTTTATTAACGGAAGAACAAGTCCTTTCACGGTTCAACAAGAAGACAACAAACTTGAACAACTAAGTCCAAAATCACGCAACAGCTCTCTTAATGGCGGAAAGGTTGTATTAACCAAATCCCAAACGTTACCAAATGATTATAAATCGTTTGGTTCATCTAAAAATTTGAACGACCAAGCAAAACCCAATACCAAAATCGGAGACCAAACAGACTGCGCAGTCATCGAAAAATTCGAAACAAATCAGAGAAAAAGCTCGTTGCAAAATGGATCTACAAAATTCAGTGCAAATGTTTGGCAAATTTCCGAAGAATTGAACAAAATAAACGCAAGACTTCTAAATGGAAACATAAGCAAAATAGACGGACACCAAAACGGGGAAAAGGAAAAAGGAACATCGTCCAGTGAATCTTTGAGTTCTTATTCCTCAAATGAATTTTTAAATCACGATGAAACCTTAGAGAAACAAGTCGAATCAACGTTCGAAATCCCAGTTATACAAGTGGAATCTCCACAAGAATTTTCAATTCCACCACCTCCACCTCCACCACCGCCAATGTTAGTAATGGATTCTAAGACATCATCGTCAAGTTCTCCAAGAAAATGGAGCTCTGTCAAGACTGACTGCGAACAAGCCCAAACCTCAAAGCCAAAAGAGACCAATCAAGCAGCAATGAACCTGGCCAAGGTCCTCATAGAAGGCACAAGAAAACTGAGAAAGACAAAATCATTTGGCGACGAGTTAGAGAGTAACGGCAATGGATTACAAGGAGACTATGACAATACTCATAAAACGCAACAAAATAGAATACCGTCTACTTTATTAAAGCCGATATCTCCGCAATCCTTGACGGATCGATCTCAACCGGTGCTGACATCAACAACAACAACAACAACTCCGAATCATATTACCAATGATGGAGGTAGTAGTAGTAGTAGTCACAACAATTATCGCGAAAACAAGGAAAGAACGTCGTCCCCACCAAAAAAAATTGATGTGCAGCCCTTGAAATCCATATATAACGGTCAGTCGAACGCGAATGGAAGAGTTCCGGTAATGTCGAGCACGTTGAGGAGAACGATGAGCGGATCAAAAATCGAAAGCACCGCGTCAATACTCGAAGCCAATGCGAAGACTGTCATCCCGGTAGCTGACAGGAACGCGAAAATCGAGAAAACAGACCCGAACGTTAAAAAAATGGTTTACAACACGTACAGGGGACTATTAGGAGCTTACAATCCCAAGGCCAATGGCATTATTGCAACATTGCCCAGGAATATGGTCAGGGAAGATCAAGGAGTCACAAAGCAGTTGGAAAGCATAGCGTGAGTATCAACAGTTTTTATACCGTGGGAACATTATTCATTCATTGCTTCTCTATTGTCTAAAAGTATCTCACATTATGTCATGGTAATTTTCATCCGCTTTTAATCCAATTTAAAGCTGCATAATAATTGCAGGTATTAATTAATAGAAAACACAAAACATGCAGGTACATTGCTAATCAATACTTTTACAGTGCAGACAGTTTGAAAATATTATCAGATGGATTAGATACACGTTCATCGGCCTTATGGTTTCCTTTATAATCANTAGAGAGTTTCAATTTTAAATAAGTGGAGATTTTTTTCAAGATTATTATAGGTAGTATGCAACAGAAATATTTTATAAGACTTTGCCTTTTCTTCGGTTTTGGAAAGCAAATGAAAGCTAAAATGTCGAAATGACCAAATAACTTAAATCCCATCATCATAAGGTCGTCAGTCCTAAGACTGGTTGGACACACACCTCCACTCTTTCTTATCCTGAGTTAATCTTCGCATTTCCCTACAACTAGAACAACCCATATCCTTAACTATTTGCGAACAGTAATCTAATTTAGCTGTACCTCTATCCCTCCTAACTCCCGTTTCTGCCTCTAATATGTCCCTAGACCTTCATGCCTGAGAAGTTGTCCTACCAACCATTTCTTATTGACTTCCATAGAGCCCTGTGTTCTCGTATTCTTTCTAACACCTCTTCAATTTTAGCTTTCTCTATCCACGGTATCCTCATCATTCGCCTTCTGTCCTGACTTAACTGACTTCCTAAATACCTAAAATCGGCCACTTCTTCAAACCTTTCGTCTCCTATCTTTATATTCGCTCTTTCCCTACTTTTTCTTTCCTTGCGTGCCGGTATTTTCGTTTTACTCTGTCAGTACCGCATCCATTTTATTTAAATCTATCTCTAACTCCTTGCTAGATGCTAATATTGCTATATCATCTGCAAATCTAAGCATACTAATCTTTTGCCCCTGTATATATATATTTCTACCGTCCTTATGGTTTCCTTTATAATCACACGAAAATGACAAAATTATTATTCAATAATTATTTTTGTTACCATGATTCATGATGTTTGCGTACATAAGTGTCAGAGAAGCGCTTGAATGTTTACAAATTGAAAAAAATAAAACAGATAAAAATCTGTGATTCAATATTGCTTATGAATGAGTAATAACGTAATAACTTCATTTAACATGCTTAATATTTGTTTTAGATTGCAAGGAGGTTTAGACAAACTCAATGGTCGAGTTAACCCAAATCCTGACAAAGATTAAGCCGGTAATAGATCGTCAACGTGCGTTCCCAATTTTCCGATGTTTCTGAAATTTAATATCAATTAATTAATCAATTATTCAACAAACGCTTTATAAAATACGATAATTGTAGCAATAATCGTAACTGCATATTTTTTGCATAATAATGAATCAGAAACATGGTAAAATTGCCCCTGCTGCATACATACATGCATACATACATACATATATATTAATAGACTTGTTCGTTTTTATGTGATATATTTTTTAATGCACTGTCAGGTTAATTTATGTGTTAAAGTGCATGATAATGATGACGTTTTATATAGGTATATATATATATATATTTTTGTCGTACTTTTAATTTTTTTTTTGTTTTTGTTTCTACGTTATTATTATTTTTGGATGTTTTTCTGTGAAAAATATGCATGGCTTTATATATACTACGACAAATAAAAAACGAATAAAAGTTACATGCAATTGTTTTATTCTTTAAAAAAAAACACTTACTTTTTTTTTGCTTATTTTTTAGATTTTAAAAGTGCCTACAGAACTATTTTAGTCGAATAGAAACGAGAACACTCGATAAAAATAGTAAAATGTTTATTTGTATATTTATGAGAAATATATTAGGGTCCGTGTGTAATATGCAATGAAAGTAAAATTAATATACAGGTATAGCGAAAAAAATCGCTCTAAAAATTTTTTCATCGATTTCCGGCCATTCTACATAATTTTTCAAAATTGTCCCAATTCTGGATAATTACCTGCATTGGTGACGTTATTGTTTGGTTAGGTACATTTATGACAGATTGGAGTTTACTTAATGCCCCTGTTTGTCGGAGGCGGGCTGATATGTTGGAGTATTTTATTCACAGAAAGCATTAGTTTTATACATTTCCTAGTACAATATCGGAATTTCATATAATTCATAGAATTGAGACTCCAAACTAAAATCGCTCCAAAAATTTTTTCTTCGATTTCTTGTCATTTTCGTATTTTTACGTGTAAGACTGTTCAGTTCTTAAATCGCCACTAGTGCATTAGGTAACTATTATAAACTAATCCGTTTTGTGTGTCGTCAAGGCAGTTATATAAATATGTATATATGCGTAGAGTCATTTGGCCATTTTGTCTGGAATTCGCGGCTAGTTTAACAACCTTCGAAATGGTAGTTTTTATCTAAAGTCGCCATCACAAGTGACTCATTCTAGTTCTACCTGGATCTCCTTCCTCATAACATTAACGTATTTTCAACTATTTCATCGTCATCATCATCATCAGGTTATGTTATGTTTAGAATAAGTTTTAAAAGGTCCATTGGTGAAATTGACCCGACCAGATGTTGTTGAGAGCAACGTCAATCCGTCTTTTGACGATGTCATCTTCTCATACCGGATTTTATCTAGGTATTAATTACGCTTATTGTTGCTGAATTTAATATACGACCACTTGTATAATGCAGTTTACCTTATTATGGCACAAACGAAAGTAATTCAATGCTATTACATGTATGCTGTAAGTACCTTCGTGATACGTAACAAGGTCACTGTCAGATTGGGTTCATGCAGGCAATTATTAAAGATGGTGCGATTTGAGATGGTCATATTTAATAATGTTAATGGGTACGTTAACTTTTGATTTCGCTTCGGATAACGAACACGTAGGTACTTGATCTTTTTCACGGGTCTGCTTTATATTATAAACCTAAATAGTCAATAGGGGTATGGTTTACCCTTAAATACTCATTAACGACGGTTTAATCTGTAAGACGTCAATGTCGGAGTAGATTTCTGAAAAACCTCTACCTGTCCAGTTTCACAGACGTCTTCTACCGACAAAACACAAAGGACATATTGTAATTTGTTTTGTCAAAATTAACCCACGTTGATGCATTATAAAACTTTAACTACCGATAATTTAATAAGCAAATAAGAAATATCTATTAGTAGTTATTGAAAATAGGTAAATGTTTGGTAATTATATTATGTTTTAATATTTAACTGATTCACTTTTAGGTATACAAATAAGAATATTATGTACATAAAATCAACAGAAGATACTCGAAGTAGATATTGTAATTTTACACTAGGAGTGATATATTTTTCAATCTGATATTCTAATGTGGTATAAACAAGGTTGACATTGTGCATGTCTCTGTGATTAAACTTATAAAAGGTACAATCAAATTACCGTGAAAAAATGAGTTCTTTATAAAACAAACAACACCCACAAGGCGATTGTTTCCAAATGGATTTTGTCGAGTCTAAATATTAACTGGCGGAATTAATGTTGGTATTAAGTATCCAATTTCTTTAATATAAGAGTTCTCTCAAATAAATCTTTATTTTTGGAGGAAACTCAATTTAACTTATCGCAAAATATTATTGTATTTATAATTTCAACTATTAATACATCGATTGGTTGTCAAGTTGCCATGGAGAATAGATTTAAGTCGTCAATGAACGTTATGTATATGATTTCATTGTTTCGTCAATTAGATTTTCGCTGTACACGGAATTTTTTGTTTTGGTGGCCGTTGAAATTGAACATCACGTATTGTAATTTTATTAGGTTCATATACTTGATTCAGACCTTGGAGTTCTAGAAGGCGAGTAATGAGTCAACAAATCATTATTTGCCATTTCCTTGGAATGACGACGCTCAACTTGAATATTCACACAAAGTTTTAATAAAAGTGTTAAAGGATATTAATACAAATAAATATTTATCGGTGTTAAAGTTTAGAGAGTTTCAATTTTAAATAAGTGGAGATTTTTTTCAAGATTATTATAGGTAGTATGCAACAGAAATATTTTATAAGACTTTGCCTTTTCTTCGGTTTTGGAAAGCAAATGAAAGCTAAAATGTCGAAATGACCAAATAACTTAAATCCCATCATCATAAGGTCGTCAGTCCTAAGACTGGTTGGACACACACCTCCACTCTTTCTTATCCTGAGTTAATCTTCGCATTTCCCTACAACTAGAACAACCCATATCCTTAACTATTTGCGAACAGTAATCTAATTTAGCTGTACCTCTATCCCTCCTAACTCCCGTTTCTGCCTCTAATATGTCCCTAGACCTTCATGCCTGAGAAGTTGTCCTACCAACCATTTCTTATTGACTTCCATAGAGCCCTGTGTTCTCGTATTCTTTCTAACACCTCTTCAATTTTAGCTTTCTCTATCCACGGTATCCTCATCATTCGCCTTCTGTCCTGACTTAACTGACTTCCTAAATACCTAAAATCGGCCACTTCTTCAAACCTTTCGTCTCCTATCTTTATATTCTACGCGCAGGCTTATTTATATTGAATTAGATGTTATTATCAGTGTTTATGTGCAACAATTTTATGTGTTCTGCAGATTTGCAGCTCATGTTAGATGTTAGATAAACCGTTGCTGGATCTAATCTTTTCGTCGACGCTATAGCTACATTCAAAAGTGATGTATATATATATTTCTACAGTTGTACTGTCTTTAATGATGTCGATCCCTGATAATATATGTATAATATTTCATAATGATCAGTTGAATAGTTAAAGCGTGAAATGGTAGTAAACAAATAAAGTAACATTTGCATTTATAACATTAATGTTAGAAAGATATTTTTTCGAATATTTGCAGTAACAACTTATCTTTAGCAGAGCATTGTTTGTAATAGTTTATCGTTTCCTTTCAACTAAGTAAAATTTCCTGTTCTAAATCTTTTATCACAATAACATGGCGATGTACCAACTTTTCTTAGAATCCTTCTAAACTTGAGCTCAAGTAAAAGAAAATAAAAGTTTTAAATAACCAGGCGCTCTTCTTGTAATAAAAAGTGGTGGAAAATAGCAATGACTAACAAACATCATCAACGTTAACGAACGATAGCCATTTCTTTTATGGGCTAACAGCAGAAATAAATGTCTAATCATGTGTACATTATGTAGTTAATTCTTTGTGTTAAAAAGGCTTTAGAGACCGGTAATAATGCTGATTAGGCGCTCGTACGGTGCACATCTAAATATAACACACACTGAAATTGCTTTTAAGTCTAATGATAAACGATAATCAAAGACAAGAAGAGAAATGCGATTATTAGTGGTTATATTGTTATCAATTAGATGGTACTAGGGCTTCTAAAAGCATGAAAACCATTTGTGAAGGCATAATAACTTCTTGAAAATTACATAGATGCATATACAATGTTGGAAATTTTATAAGTCCATGTACATAAAAATGCTAATAAATTATCTCATCCTAGACATTGTGGGAATTTGTTTAAAACGTAAGCATTCAAAGCCGTTTTCTTCTATTTTGTCGTAACATTCTCGCATCATACTTGTTCTACTACTCGCTAGAGGTCTCTTGTTTACTTATTGGAAGTTATGCGCTGTATACTACGTACAGGTGTGAAATTAGATGTTAAAAAAATATTAGAAACAGTAGAAGAACAGAGGGCTTTATGGAAATCAATAAGAAATAGGAGAGATATGTTGGTAGGTTACGTTCTTAGGCATGAAGGGCTAGTAAGAAATATAACAGGAGTTAAGGGTAGAGGCAGATCTAGATCTTCAACCATTCTTCGGGCTGATGACATTATGAAAATGATGATGATGGTAATAATTTCGAAACATTCCCAATTAAATCAAATACAAATACGAAACCCACATAAAATTGTTTCTAAAGATAGGCGATCATTTGTCGGATCAAACTGAACTGAGCTTATAACTTACGTTTGCGTCATTTGTTGTGATCCTAATGCAAAGATAATTGATAGTGACGTATCTTGATGGTGATTTTTCTATTTTGGCATATCGTTGTAACTAACAAAACATGGTATAATGTAATGGAATATTGTCTGATTCGGTTTCAAGGAAAGTAACCACGTATTTACAATCAAATGTGTTTTTGTTTGACCCTATGTTATGTTTATCATTAATATTTTGCAATTATGTTGCTATTAGAAATAGTAAATCGTACGTCGATTGTTGCAGATAAATGTATTACTAAAAAGTGGGTCACGGTTTTGT